GAATATTTTGGTTCATATTTTTTTGTCGCATTGTAAAAATTTGCTGTAATTCCGATTGTAAAATTGTCTTGGCAAAAAAAAAAAAAAAGTCGAATGAATTTAGGGTATGTGTGTCACTTCGCATTTTAATCATTATCATTGGCATTGTTCATCAAATCTGATTTTTTCACCTATATTTTTTTGATAACTTGTTTTGATTAATACTACATCGCCTGGTGATTTTGATTATAGAAAAGTGTATTGAAATAAGGAGAATTGGAAAAGAGGAAATTGCGAAATAAGAATTGAGAAATTAGTAAAATTAGTAAAATCTTAATTTTCGTTTCGTCTCCTGAACGAATTATCAACTAAACGGTTCTCTGGATGCCCTTTAGTTTATGCTGATCTCCTCGGATGCTGCTATTGCTGGGCCGTAAACGAGGTATTTTGCCGATTTTGGGGGATTTAAACTTCATAAAAACCGTAAAATTATATCTAGCGGTGTAGTATTTTTGTGCCTTTATAAACGTATATGATCCGTGTTATTTGTTTGTGGTGAATATGAGCATTTTTCGGCAAAATTGCTGGACCCATTAGCGATGCATTTGTTGGATTGGCCAGGCTGTTGATGGATCGTCCAAAAATATTAGAGTATCCAGACCTGTTCTTATTTAAAAGAAAAATTCATAAAATGATTTTGTAAAAAAAAAATGAATATTTTCAAAATACTTCATTGAACCATACGATAAATCTTAGTATCCCTTTTCCAACTTAAAGCGGGTTGGAATTTGAAAAAAACAAAAATTTGTTGGCGCTCCAGCGAAAACGATTTACATTAGAACTGTGCCAGGTATGTAGTGCTTCACTCTCTCTGGTGACTAGTTTTTTCCCCTCATCTCATTCGTTCGTCCAGTAGTTTTTTTTCCAGTTTGTGAATATTTTTTCGCATTTGAGCTACCTAAATTTCCGCTTTTCCAGCTTTTTCCCTTCCAAGTCTCCGTTAAAATAATCAAGGGAAGAGCTTGGAGTGGATAACTTTTTTTGCTTTTTGCTGCCCGAAAGCATTTTTTGATCCTAATGAGCAAAAATCTTCCGAATAATTATTTGGCTTTCGATTGTCAAGATCCCCTGTAAAAAAGCATGACCGTTTGCTGGGCGCCCCAGGATTTTTGAATCTTCTGGTGCAAATTGCGCCAGAAAATTCAAAAATCCCGGGGACCAAATGGACGCAAAACACTAAAGTACTTGAGGCAAAATTTTCCTGTCGTCAAATTCCAGTTATTTGGAACAATTATGATGCCAATTCATAATAGTTTTATGATCAAGAGCATTGCAAAACATCATTTTGTACTGTTATTGTTATGTTTCAATTTGCGATTACTTGGCAATTTTAGTTTCGTAAATTTTGTTATTCCGGGCCTCTATTTATTCACGAAGTTGCCTGACGTATCAGTGTGTTTGTTAGGGATATTACGTATAAGAGCTTCACCCATCCTTCCTCATTCCCGTCCCGGAACCCATCGACTTTTACCAAATGTTACTCAAAAGTGGAGGAAAAAAAACTTAAGGAGAAGATGCATTAAAATTTAAGGCTCTTGCTTGCGGGATAAAGAGGATAATGGAATTCTGGATTACAAAAATCTCTGCGATGTTTATCAGTACATTTCTGCAAAAATTATTAGATCAAAAATCATTGGAACAAGGAGGGGGCACTTCGAATAATCAATTCCGAAGAAGGG